ACTCCATCCCCAAGCCCATCTCTGCCCTGCTGATGAGGGGCTGGAACGCCTGTCCCGAGGTGAGTGCCCCTGGCTGCGGGAAAACAAGCATGTCTGCTCTGGCTGACCCTCCCCAGAATCCCATCTTCCATTGGAAAGTTGCCTTCAGAAAGTGCCTAGACACAGGGGTGTGTCAGGAAATACAGGAGAGTTGGTGAATTGAAGAGGAAAGTAAACTGACATTTAGCCATCCAATGAAACTTAAGTAATCACGTGACTTTGATTATGACTTCAGTTATAGTGTGAGTAGAAAACTCCTTGATGGTCTCAGACTGTGTGTATAACTGCTAATGACAGCATGTAACACACATTCACTTTAAATTTATTAATAAGATGTCATATTCAAGTGTTGACTTAAGCAAGCACAGAGATGGATGCAGTCCCTGTGTCTTGTCAGCATTCCCACAGCCCACTTAGCCCCCAAACCATCTTTTCAGAGTCCCAGTGCACTTTGCTACCCATCAGTGACACTCCAACATTGCTTCATCTTGCCAATGTTTTAGAGTTTTGTGACAGAATTATAAAGAAATTGATAGCACAGTCACCCATGGATGGCCAGTACTTTGCACAAGATATGAGCAAGAAGTTGTTAAAATTACCTTAATTAAAAGTGTTTTGCTTTTTTTTCTTTACTGAACTTTCCTTCATGGATGGCAGAGCTGCTGTTGCTCCTAGACTGGAGGGCTGCTGGGAGGACTGCAGGACTTTGGCTCAAAGTCCTTAAATAGAGCCTACCTGTTGCAAGTGGTTCTGTTGAGGACAAGGTGGTGATGGGAATGAGTAGCTTATTTAGCAGTTACCTCACTAAGGTATTCCCAGCCCTCTACTGTCAGTGCTCTAGGTACTGCTTCAGTCACACCTGAGCTTCCCGGGAAGGCTGAGCTGTGAGCTGGGACAGAACAAGGATAGGCAGTAATGGAGGACTACTTGTCATTCCCCTCACTTACCTGATCCTGTCCCGAGTGTGGCCTCCACAAACGTCTGTGCCACTTGAAGCACACAAAGATGGACATACTTGTCCAGGAATGGGCTGGGCAAGCGGTGGGGAGCAGCTGTGGGGGGGTGCAGGTACATGGGTGAGGGGAGGAGGAGGAGGATGGTCACACAGGCAGCTTGTCTGCTGCTCTTCTCTGCTGTTGCCGTGTCCAAAGTCCTGTTCATGGCCAAAGAGGAAGCCAACCTAAAGAGCAGAGCCAAGGATTTATTAATAGCATTTTTGTAATCTTATGATCTAGGTATTATTAACTCAAATGCAATTGTTACAGAAAAAGAGATGAATTGCAGTTAAAGTTGTTATACACACACCTCTTCATTTTGTAGCTCAGCACTGAACTTGCAGTTCTCATCAGATTCCCAAACAGATTGACAGCAATGCCATGGAGTTCAGAGAAATCCTGTCCCTGTGTGTCAGTCTATTCACAGCAGATCTGTCCCTTTCCATTTTTAACCTAGCTCTGCTTTTCCTGTTGTGTTCCCAGGGGAGACCAGAGTTCTCAGAAGTTGTCACAAAGTTAGAGGAGTGTCTGTGCAATATTGAGGTAAGGACCTGGTTCCCAGCATGGGGAATCTGTGTGTGTACAAGCAGATGGGAGTACAAGTGGGGAGAGGGACAGTGCCAGCAGCTGAGGACACCACTGGCTTTGTAGCTGCTGGAAAAGTCCAAGGAAAAGTGGGGGACAGCTTATGAGAGAGAGATGAGGAAGGACATGGAAATATGCAATAACAGTACCTTTTTTTTTTTTTTTTTTTAATGCAGTTAATGTCTCCAGCCTCCAGCAACAGCAGTGGGTCCCTGTCACCCTCCTCATCCTCGGACTGCCTTGTGGCCCGGGGAGGTCCCGGCCGCAGCCACGTCGCTGCGCTGCGCAGTCGGTTCGAGTTGGAATATGCCCTGAACGCTCGAGCCTATGCTGTCTGGTCAGAGGGGTGTGTATGAGCCACCCGGGGAGGGAGAGAGGCTCTGAAAGGCTCAGACTGAGGTGACTGAATGAAGGAGGCCATGCTGCTGCAAGGTGTTGTGGCAGGACCAGGAGAGAGCTCTGCCAGATTTGTGCCGTCACCTGTGCCCATTACAGAGATCAGGGATAAACTACCTGTCAGCAGGACAGTGGGTTTGGTTCATGACTGGAAGATAATTCCACAGTCTTCCTCACCAGAGAAACTTATTTGCAGGACCCTTTTTGCAGTGACACATAAAACACATGGCAATGACCCTGGATAGATGCCTGGAATTGCTTCCATAATGACAATGCAGAGAGAGTTGTGAAGCCCCAAACAGGGTATTCAAGGGCAGTTACTCTGAGAAGGGTAACTGAGTGCAAGTGTGCCTGTGGGTCCTGGTCTTCATGACTTTTTCTTGCTTTTTGTTTACTGAACTGCTGTGGTCAGGCCCTACACTGATGTCTCGTGGTACTTTTTCCTCCCAGTCTGGAGAAAAAGCTCCTGTAGCCTTCATCAGTCTTACCTAAACTGACACCTCTTGTTTAATTTGCAGCACTGGGCAACCCCTCTCTCAGGGCCTGTCTCTGGATGACATGAGAAGGAACTTCCAGTATCCCCCAGTCGACAAAAACGGTGAGTTATTGCAGAGGGGTCCTCTACCACAACAAGTTGTTCTGCTGCCGTCAGCGCTGCATGGAGCAGGGACAGGAGCACCACTCCTGTGCTGAGCTACAGTTGACTCTGTCTCTGCACCTTGCAGGGTACGTGTCGGACCCCTTGAGCACCATGAGGTTCCATTCGTGCGGTGGCAGCAGCAGCTTTGAGGAGAGCAGCTGAGGGAGGGACTGTTCGCCTGCTGCCAGCCCGGCCATCGACCCGCAGCCCTTACTGCTCCACCAAACCCCGAGTGTCACACCGAGATCCCTGAACAGCTTTAGTGTTGATGGCAAATATCCCCATCCTGCTTTCTGCTTTAGCATCCCTGATCCCTGAAGCAGGTCTGCGATGAGGCCTCGAGCAGTGCGACAGACGTGAGCTGTGACTGCGTGGTGGGCTCTGTTAGAGAACTAAAAATGGAGCAAGGGAGCAGACTTCGTGTGCACTAATAACCTCAGTGTACTCACAGATACCTGAGCTGCTGTGTCATCTGTGAGCACCTCCTCAGAACGTGACATGTGGAAACAACAAAATAATTCCAGAAAGCAAAAGTTCTATAGTTTAAGAAGCTGTTTACAAAACCACCTGCTTGCAAATAATTGTACTAGTAATTAAAATTACTGGTTCCTTGAAGAAAACAATGTCGTAGATAATTGGTCTCTATAGAAGAAACATCAGGCTTGGGGGAAAACATGTTTTATAGGAGTGATCAGTTAGTAATACAAACAAAAACTCTGGAAAATGCAAATTAATGAGTAGAACATGCTCCAAAGCTGTTTGTGGGAGTGCAAGTAGCTGTGCTGTTCCCAGAGAAGCCTGAGGACCCCAGCACATCAAAATATTTACCAAGAATGAGACAGTCCGAGGATTCTTACACTGCTTTGGAGACCTGCCAGTGCCTGGCGACTGTAGTGATATTTTAAATTAACATACCAGCAATAGCTTATCTAGATTATCAGCAATAGATTAAAATAGATGATCTAGATTAAAATAATTAAAATAATTAAAATAATATGGAGTCCAACCAGACAAGGGCTTAGACTGCAGGCAGGAGTGAACCTGGCATTCCTGCAGCACATGTCCACCAGCCTGGCACAGCACGGGACCAGACAGCCAGAATAGCACAGCACAGGGCAGCCAGCACGGCATGGCCGGCTGCCTCGGAGGCTGGGCTGGCACAGCCCTACCAGGCAGACTGAGGGGTTGGTCATGCCTGGTTTGCACAGCTGAACCCCAAAACCCCTCAGGCAATTCCCAGCCAGGAAAGTCACTTTGCAGCCCTTGTTTCAGACAGAGGGATGCACTGCCCATACGGTGCTGCCCACCAGGTGCTGCCCACCACCAGCATCCCAGGCAGCGTCTGTGAGCCACCATCCCACATCCCTGCCAGCAATGCCAGGGCTTGGTGCCCAGTTCCAGGAGCATGACTTCAAACCTTCCCACGCTGTGTCCACGTTGCACAGCTGGTGTGGGTTTGAACTGGTGAAATACATCTCTTCAGCCTGTGGGATGTCACCAGGTTCCAGCTGTGCGAGACACATCTAAGGCACAACCATCGGCAGCCAGTGACAGGCAATTGAGAACACCTGGCAGCTCAGGGAGTTCCAAAAGCCTTCCTGATGAGCCAAGAATGAGTTATGCCAGTGGCAACACTGTTTGATAGTTTGCTTTGCTCACATATGCTCACTTTAATAATTAGTCGGGGGCTTTTTTCTGCTGCACATCTTGTTTTTCCCCAAGTGCCACCTACTTTTCACTTTGAAGTTAATTACTAATTAGCACCAGATAGGAGAACAGAAAGGACCAAGGGAAACACTTCCAAACCTATACAATTATCCTTTTCCATGGTTTTGCACATTACCAAATTTCTGCCTGCTCAGATGACAGGGACACTAATGTTTTGAAAGTCCACATATGTGTTCCTAACCACAGGATTCCTTCCCCCAGTTGTTACAACCACATGCCCAAGTGCCATTTTGAAGTATTTCAAGAATGTTAAATAATGAACTGCCAGCATTCCAGTTCCTTACAATCACACTGCCCTGTTCATCAAGGCCTTTTAGGATGACCTGGGTCTTCTGCAGTCCTGAAGGGGCTCCCAGGAATCCCTCCTAAGGCAAATCCCTGCATCCCCATTTGCCTTTGCTCACCTTGGATTGCCACCCATGTGTCCAAATGCTCAGATGCAGCCATGCCACAGCCCCAGGCATGAGCTTTGTGTGGGCACCTGTCTGGGGCAGCTTTAGCAGCACACTCAGCCCAGCATCAGTCAGTCCTTTGGCAAACTGAGACAGACACCACAGCCCAGGCCCTGCTGCACAGGCAGGGGTTATTCCTACAGTTAAACCACTGGCAAAAATTGAAGGAGCTGCACAGACTGGTACAGGTGTTTAATAGACCCAAGTGAATGTGCAGGTCTGGGTATGTACACAGAAAACACAACCTCCTGAGATGGTCCTTATCAGGAATGTGCATAGACTGCACGTACAAATGCAACTGCCTCTAGTACAGAAGGGAACACAGCAACCACTTGATGACATTTGAGTTTCCAGTCCCAGGCATATTGATCTGAAGTGACTCACAAAACCAAGCCACTCAAAATCCTACCCATTTCAGCCTCATTTTCCTACTTGAAATGCAATTACAGTCCCTACTGTGTGGGGCTGAGAGTCCTGCACCCACCAAGCATTGCCTAGAGGCTGCTGCATACCCAGCCCCAGGTGCCCAGCTCAGGTGGGCCCGTGGAGGTGCAGGAGAGCTGAGAGGAGCCTCAGGCAGCAGAGATGGGCAGCCACTGCCAGGCTGAGACAGCTCTACACTGACCACCCTCTTGAAGCCTCAGCCCGGGCTCCATGGCCCAGGAAGTCACTCCTGACTGACATCAGCAAAGGCAAAAAGCCAGGCTTTATGCATTTACAAATACTTGTTGGAATTGTTCTGATTTAACAACTTTCAGCATTTCAAAGTGCCAAGAATACCTTGAAGTGTGGCCAACAGCAAGTATGGATCCCTGAGAGAGAAGCCCCCCATGCCTCCCAGCACATAGGGCACTGTGCATGCAAGAGAGCTACCCTCCCCTCACCTGGAATGGGGAAGTCCCCAAGCTAAACCCCTCATGTGAGGCCTCCTTCGCCCTGATCCTGCCATTGTGTCTCTGCTGAACACCCCTGGATGATCTTACGAGAATCAGAGCAATGGCATGCACAAGTGCCCCATGCACAGCAGCGAGGACACAGCATGACTGACAAAAGGCTGCAGCTCAGAAAGGCAAAGACACCTCAAAAAATGACAGATACACTCAGACATGGGCACCCTGTACAGACAAACACATACAGCACATCTCCTGCCCGCCTGCAGGAGCAAGTGATGCATGAGGGAAGAGAAGTTCAGCCAGTCCAGTATTCCTCTGCTTTTTGGGAAAAACAAGCATGACAGCTATGGAACAATCCTGGTGATTACTGTCTTCATCATTCCGAAGCAGCACTGTTTCCTGGGCTGGCAAACACAGGCTTGTTTCAGGTGTCTCCTGCACACTGAGGAGCTGCTACAGTGAAATGTGACAGGTGGTTGTGGTACTCGTGGAGTAAACAGAGGAATGACATCCCAACCAGCACAAACCCACAGCTAATTGTGTGAATGTTGCAGGACACATCCCTGAGGAGCTGCTGAAAAAGCTCAGAGCAGAGTTTCTTCCCCATCCTGGGCCTGTTCTGCGGATACGATGATTGGGTCTGGGTTTGCGCAGTCCTACGGAACAATGAGCAAATGTTACAGGAAACCTTCTGAACTTGGAGCTGCTGAGGTATTTGCTGTGACATCTCCTACAAGCAGAGGCCAGAGTAACAGCAAAGCCAAGTGCTGATGCTGACCTGGTGCTCCAGAGCCCACAGGTGCTGCCAGGGCTCACCCAGTGCCACCGGAGCCTGTGGCAAGCTGGGTGGCTCTAGCTGCTCTGCACAGCCAGAGGGGAGAGAGGGCAGAGGGGCTGCAAGAATTAATACTACAGCAAAGGGATTTGCATGGGATTTTGGGGACAGGAAAGAACACAGGCAGCAGCCACCCGAAAGGATTTATCATCCCTTGTCCCAGTTACCAGCAGCAGACACTTAAGCAACAGATAAGGAATGGGACAGTGATGCATCCTTTGCCTCTGACAGGGATCAGCCTGGGGGCAGTGATGGACCCACGCAGGACTCACCTGATGGGGCCTGTGGCTCCTCTCGCCCACATCAGCAGCTCCTGGGCTCCCTCCAACGGGACTGTCCTCCTTCTGCTGCCTGGCACCAGCAGAGCTCCCTGCACTTGCTGACACATCCACTATCTCACACTCTCTCGTGTTTTCTCGGGGGCCCTGCTGTTCTCCCTCTGTTTTCACTCCCACCTGCTCCATCTCCTCCTGCCACCCATCCTTGCCCTCCCCTGCCCCTGTCCCGGGAGCTGCCAGCTGTGGCTGGGTGCCCAGGCACAGCCCTTCGCCTCCTGCAGACCCTCTTCCTGTCGGCTCCACTCCCCCATCCCCATGGGCAGGAGTGTTTGGGGAGGTTTCTGCAGTCGGCTGTTCCCCAGGGGACATCGCTCTATGGGCTTCTCCGTGTCCTGGGGACATGATACTCACTGTGCCCCACTCCCACTCCCCCTCTCCCTGGCCCTCGGCCCCCAGTGGCTCTGGTCCACTTGGCTTACACCCCAGTGCTGCCTCCTGCTTCACTCCTTGTCCGTCAGCCACAGCTCCATCTGCCACCCCTACCCTGTCCTTCCCAGACTCCCTGGCTGCCCCCTTTCCCTTGGCTGACACCCCTTCTGCCACTGCCACCCCTGTCCTGCTCTGTGCCCCCAGCACTGCTCCTATCACCCTCTCCTGTGCGACTGTACCTGTGCCCACTCCATCACCCCCAGCCACTGCCACCCCCTCGGCCAGCGCTGGCTCCTCAGCCAGTCCCTCAGTCGGAGCCCCTCGCCCAGCCTGGCCGCCCACCACGGCGATGGCCACCAGCCCAGGCTCCCCTGTCCTGCTCACACCAAACCCCAGGGCTGGCACTGCTGCCTCACCCACAGCCCCCTCCCCAGAAGGCCTCCCCTTCCCTCTCTCTTTTCCATACCTCAGCCACCCCTCCATCCCAGTTGCTGGCTCCTCTGGACCTGCTGCTCCACCTGTGGCCTCCTCTCCACCTCCCGACCCCTGGGTGGCCACCTCTGCAGACCCTCCCACCACCCCTCCATCAGGTTTTCCCTCCATAGCTCTCTCTGTCTCTGCCTTGCTGCCCACAGATGAGTTTCCACTCCAAAGTGCTTCCACTGCATCCTCCTCCTCCTGCACTGCTGGAGTCTCCTCCCCCTGAGATGACCCTTCACTGACAGGATCGTCCCCAGCACCCCCCAGTGCCCCTAACCCAGGTGCCGCTTCCAGCACAGCACCCTTGCCAGGCTCCACTGGCACCTCCATCATGTCCTCCACTTTTGGGAGAGTATTCCCTCCCATCATCCATTCCTGGCCACGTTCAGATGCTGCTGCTCCTGTGGCAGTCTTCCCCATCCCCATCCACTCTTCCCCTAACACCTCTAGCTGGGAAAACTCATTTGGCTTTACAAACATTTCCCCTCCAGGCATTGCTTCTCCCGTTTCCATATCCCCTAATGCTTCCAGGAGAGCCTCAGGCTTCCCCACAGCCTCCTCCCCTTCAGAACTGTCTTCCTCAACAGCCTCTTCTTCTTCAGGGCCAACAACTCCAGCAATACCTTCTCCTGCCAGGTCAGCATCCTCCACAGCCTCCTCTCCATCCACCACAGCATCCGCCACAGCACCCTTCCCTCCAGACCCTCCCTCCTGCAAGGACTCCCCTGCCTCCGACACTGCCTCACCTACCTCCTCCTCTGCCTGCAGCCCTGCCGCTCCATCAGGGCCTTTCTCCACAGCCTCCTCCTCCTCAGTGACCCCCCCAGCCCCCTCCTGCCCCTCAGACACAGCTCTGTTTGTCTCCTGGCCCGGCAGTGCTCCAGTTGGCCCCTCTCCCCCAGGTGCCGGCTCTCCTAGTGCTGCCTTGCTCTCCATCCCCTCCACCAGCACCTCCTGCTCCCCAGGTGACACCTCTATGCTCAACTCCACTCTCTCTCGTGTCCCCTTCCCTTTTGGACGTTCCTCTGCCACGGTGCCTTCCTCAGGTGTGGATTCCTCCGGCGCAGACCCTCTCTCTTCCTGGGGCAGTAAATCCTTCTCCTGTACCCCTTCTCCTCCGGCCTCTTCACTGCCAGCATCTCCTCCCACAGCAGCACCATCCTGCTCCAGGGCTTGTCTCTGGCCTTCCTTCTGCCCTTCTTGTACTTCTTGTCCTGCTGCCTCCTGCACATCAAGACTTCTCCTCCCTTCGGCCAAGAAACTTCCATCTGATGCTGTTAGGGAATAATCAAACATTGGTTTTACTCAGCACTGTGTCAGTGTTATATGTTTGACAGGGTTAGTGTTAAAGGTCCCATCTCTGCCCAGCAATGAGGGACACCAGCATGGGGAGCAGAAGAAAACTTGTAGTGTGTCTTCTCATCACACCTCTGGGCTCTGACTATGTCTCTAGTGCTGCTGTCCTGGCATCTGGCATAATGAACTTCAGAAAAAAATGTTGATGCAAGGCCAGCTTTCATCTTTGCTGGTCTTGCCTGCCGTGCCTGCTCTGCCTCCCTCCCTTCCTGCCTGCAGGGAATTCAGGTGTGCATGCGAAACACCTGTAACCTTGACAGTGACACTCAGAAAGTCAGAAATAGGTGGCAAATTGCTCACGTAAAATATGTACACACAGGAGGAAGAACACTCAGCGTTCATATAAAATGTGTAATTGCTTCCTGTGGATTCTTTAATTACACTGGGGAATAACACAGGGTTGATTCCTGCTCCTGGGTGCCAAAGAGTTTCCCAAGGAGGTCCCATGCTACCTGGAAGCACAGAGAACCTCACGACATTTCTGCTTTCCGTAGCTATTTTCCTAACTCACAGCCAGTTTATCATGGCCTGGGTTCTCTGCCTAGAACCATTTAAATGCCAAACAAGCATTAATTATACATGACTACAGAAACTGGATAGTCATCACCCAATTCTATACAAATTAGGAAAGAAAAAAGCACAAGGAGGGTTAATAGCCAAAGGAAAGTGAAAGGACAAACAGTTCCATAAAAAACCTTCAGACTAATAAGATTTAATCCTTCTCCCTGATTGACAGTCAGCCTCACCTTCACTGGCATCATGCTCTGTACTTGCTGCGTTCTCTGCTTCCTCACTGGCATGGGAATCGTCAGGTTCAGGGTCGGAATTCACAGGATGATCATTTCCAGTTGCCTTTGATATTTCCTCCTGGTCTGGTTTGCAATCTTCAAAAATTATCACAAAGAAAACAGGAAGCAAGAAAGAGAAACCATTAAAGAGCAAAAGGGGAGTAGAAGCCATCCAGCCACCTCAGCTTGGCTTAAAATGGTTTAAAATTCATGTTTGGGCAGAGCCTTACACTGGAAACACTAGCAGAGAAGCACCAAGCCAGAATTATGTTCTGAGTGGTTATTGTGCTTACAGCAGCACAGAGTTGTTCCAGCAACCTGAGAACAGTCCAGTGACTCCCCATGCTGCATCATGACATGGTGACATGCACCAGTCACTCAGAGCTATGCAGAGGGGCTGTACTCACCCCCTCCTTTCTCACTCTGAGGAGACTCTCCATTGCCATCCTCCATGTTCATCATCCTGGGGTCCCAAGGCACTGGAAGACGTTCATACTCATCATTCATGCTACTTTCTCCTGACACAGCCTGTTTGAGTTCCGCATTAACTTCAGGACTTTGATGCTGCATTGCCATTAAATTTTCATGAAAAATTCCAGTATCTTCCCTTGCTGCTAGATCTTCTAGTTTTGCCTTTCCTGCTTCATCTATTTTTTTCTTTTCCATTGCAGAAGTCTCCTGATTCTCCTCCCTTCTGTGCAGTTTATTCTCCCCATTCCCATTTCCATACTGTGCATGTGCTGTGCTATCAGATGCCCTTTTGATATCACACTCCTCTCTGCCATTGTCCATCATTGCTTCAGCATGAGAGTCACCCTCAGTGCTGCACCGAGTGCTGATGGATGAGAGAGAGTCTGTAGGTCTCCTCTCTGGAAACAGCAAAGAGCACTTTGGTTTAGTATTTGGCACTAAACATCTGCCTTCACTGGGCACTCACAAAGGACAGAATTTCATGAAATAGCAATCTCTGAATTACACCATCTGGGGATATCATGACAAAATTCCAGTAAGTGTAAATAGAAGTACTGAGGTATCAATTATTAAATCCATTTAATGTTTTTGGGGGGTTTTCCTGGTAATGGAAATTAACCTCTAATGGAAATTAACCTTCTGATAATGGAAATTAACCTCTATCAATCACACAGAAAGACACCCCCAAAAGCACCTTGAAGTGTCACTCAGACAGGGTTTATCACAGATTCTTGAGCTCTGTTTGATAAAAGACTTCAACCATAGCAACAATCCTTCAGTGCACTCCTGTTAACTCAATGAATATTAGAAAGTTCTCCAAAACCATGTGTAAACCACTCAGGTCGAACTGGAGGTGAAGCTCACTGTCTTCTCTAAAAAAAACATAGAGACATCATCATTTAAATTCAAAAATGGAAAGTCTGAGGGGAAAAAAAAGCAGTAATCCTTCATCTAACCCTGAGCTGGCAGCAGAGCTGACTGCTGCTCAGCCTTGTGGCTGCCCATAGTCCACACAGGTTCAAGAAGGGATTGGTGAAACTCAAGGCAGAAAAATCCAGGCAGGCTGAATAAGTAAAAGTGCCAGAACTGTCATCCACAAACAACTGCATGTTCAGAAAAACATACTGTACCATGAAACCTTACAGCCACAGTTTAAAGACTCCCACTCAGAGTACCACTCCTCCACCATGGGAAAATTCGAGGGAGTTCCTCTCCAGACCTTTCCCCTCAGACAATCTAATCATTTCTGGATCTCTGGCACAGACAGATACATTAGGGCCATATTAAGGGCCACTAAAGACAGCACTTCTAAAACCCAGGGTGGTCTGTCAGGTTTCTTGGGACCCTTCAGAAGGTGAAATGGGTCACAGCTTCTCGAGGAGTGAGTCCTGCTGACATGGAGGACTGCCCTGCCAACCTGCTGCCTGCCTCAGCCTCCATTTCAGCACCTAAACAGCTCAGTAAAAAGCCCACGCTTCCAGGGGCCTGCAGTTGTAGAACTATTAACAGATAAAA